TTTAATATAGGCGAAAATTACTGGTTGGGCACATAAATATGCAACCTGAAGACGCTGATCTTTAGTTACCCGGCTGCTGTCATGTGGGATGGTGCTCATGCTGTCATGCAGTTGTTCCCACTATCCTTGACTGAATTTTGGCTCCAGTAATGTCTATTGTCTAGTCTTGCATCCATGTCACCTTGAATGCCTAGGTATTTCGAGGCACTCGGGAGTTGGGACTTTGTCGCGCTCTACTGAACACATAGTGGTAAAGCAGAGAGTTTTTTAGACTCTCCCTCAAGTTCAATTTTGAGTCCTATATGTAGACCAGTAAAGTATCCTGGATACCTGCATTATCCTACATATGAAACTGGTTTAAATCATGAGTAAATGAGGAAATTAAAAATGAACTGATTCTAAAAATTCTGTGGTTTGTCACTATGACTGAACATTCACACTTAATGTCACTGCAAACCTATTTCCTCCCAGAGTTTTTATGCTACAGCTAAGCAATGAGTAATAAACCGTTAGATTCGCAAATAAAAGATCTAGAGATTGGTCGAAGCTTTTTTTTCAATTCCATTAAAGTTTTGAAAACATTTTGAAAAAAGGGGAGGGGAAATTTGAAAGGGTTGAGGGAGAAATAATTTTTTTTCAAAAAATGCCCACCCCAGTGACCCCACCCACAAAAATTAGAATTTTAAAAAACAGCAAGGACCAATCGATAGATATGGTCCTTAAGCACTGAATTATATGAATCTCGATGTCGTAGGTAGCTTGAAAATCATAGGAGGAGATAGATTTCTACAGTACCGTATCTCCTTTTTGGCAGTTTTCTAAGAATTTTATGTTTTCTTTCACTTTTTTTGAAAAATTCTGCCAAACAAAAAAGTCTTAGATTTATCTTTTACATATGTGTACCAAGTTTCAAAGTTATCTGTTAGTAAATAACCGAAATAGAATTTCCATAAGAAATTAGACATTGCCATTGGATATTGGAAATTATATTTTGGTTATTTACTGACAGATAACTTTGAAACTTGGTACACATATGTAAAAAATAAATCTAAGACTTTTTTTATTCATGTGAATTTTTCGAAAAAATGACAGAAAACATGAAATTGTTGGAAAAGGTAGCTAGTCCCTGGTGTGACGAATTCGTCACGCCAGGGCGTAAAGGGTTAAATGTACAATTTACTCTACAAAATGTGACCTCCTCACATCCTCAGTCCTCCTGGAGCCTGGAGGCTGGAGGCTGGGGCCCTGGGGGGAGGGAGTTTTAACGATGAATAAATAAAGTCGATTATGTACAACTACAATGTGAATGTAAGATCTTTCAGTTTCTGACCAGATTTATTTTGAAGTCACATAGACTGAGGCCTGAGCAAACTTTAACTGGGTTAAATTGTAAGAACTAAACTAAATTGTAAATACTACAGTGAGACGTGAGTCAGTGACTACAGTCTACAGCTGATATATTTGGATAGCCTATTTTGTCTTATTATTTGTAATTCATTCTTCTAGCAGTGTAGCTTGATACGAAAAGTAGGTACTTAGTTGGTTTGGACTTTGGTGCCTGTCTCTGAGCAGTGACTCTTGCTTGTGGATGTTTTCTTGTGCCACTGCCATGTTTGCCCTGTTTTCCAAATTTTGCATCCTGAGCCACTGTATCCACTCTCCACTGACAACTGCCCTACTATAAACAAGAATGCAGTGGTTACCACTTAGAAGAATTTGAACACAATACAAGCTCTCAGGCCCAACCGCCCAACGGTCATCCTTGAGGTTGACCTGTGGCTCTAAGTCTACCCAGTTCCCACTTCCCAGTGTAGACACCATGAAAAGAAGAAGAAGAGGTAATTACTTTGTACTTGAAAAACAGATACAAAAGTAAATGAACTAGGTACTCTACACTCTAGTCTACAGGACATAATAAAAAAAAGAAAAAAAAACTCCAAAGTGCATCACCTGTACGGGAGAGTTGCTGCAGGTTGTTTCACTGTCCTTAAGACAGTGAAACAGTCTTTGGACCAAGATATTATTCTGTTGGGTGTTGCCTCCATACCTGTTGAACTGTTGAAGTGTTACCCCCGTGGCCCGTGGTAGTGGTAAAGTATATAGTCAGATGGGGTAAGACAGGACCGAAATCTCTAACAAGCATGTAGCATCTATACCATGAATAAATAAAAAACCCTAAACCTATCACAAGGCTGTCTCTTATACACATCTAGATGTGTATAAGAGACAGATGCTATTCTGTCCAGGTCAAATGATTAACTCTGACTAACATAAATGGCTTCATGTTAAATTTCACCATGGACAATATTTTTTATTGAATATGTTAAATAAAAGCTAATGTTTTTTATTATATAATTAATTCGCTCACTCGTTCCAGAAAAAGTTTCGATTTATTCAGTTTTAGTAGCAAAACGTGTTTTCGACCATTTATGGAATCATTGCTTAAGTCGTGCCTGTCGTGGTAATAGTTATTGACAAAATACAATTATATACTCTGAACTCAAAGGATTTATGACAGGAAGAAATTAGTTCAGACGCTTCGTATTGAATCTTTACCAGCTCAAATAATAAAGGAGTGGTCTCAAAATAATTATTGTTAACGACTTTAGCATCATGTGCATGCTGTCTCTTATACACATCTAGATGTGTATAAGAGACAGGAGCTTATTTCCCAAACAGGGTTAACTATTTTGTGACCCTTCTTTACATAGGTTTTCTTTAAAAATTAGCCAAAAATTCATTATTTGCAGAAGAGGGTTGAAACAAACACTAAAATGACAGGTAATGACTGCTCTAACATATTCTTTTATCAAATTAAATTCAGTGCAATTAGAATGCAGGCCATGGGCCGGTCCTTTCTTACCCCATGAAGGCTGCGATCCTGTCTTACCCCATTTGACTATTACCGATTTTGGGAACCCTCGTTATTGTGAAATTGAAGTTAATAAATACATGGACCGCCAGATCTTAATATAAATATAGTAGGGTCCATTGTATGCTCGTAAATCTCTAGTCACTTCTCCCTGAGAACAAATTGAATGCTCCAGGCTGTGCCAGGGCCAGCCCAGGCTGGAGCATTTGGCCCTATGAATCCTTGTGTCCAAATGACAAGTTTAACTGTTTAGTGCTATGTACCTAGTAGCTAGGTAAGGGTTTCTAACCGGTAGACTAATCAGGTGCACAATTTAACTCTCATAAGACAAAAATATGTTGCCTAATGGCTTTATTTATTACAGATTGGCTTGCCAGATGAGGAAGCCTTTTTGAGCCGTGAGGTTTATGGAGGATGACTCCACTTCCTCAAGAAGCAGACAAAACAACAACAACAAAAATGCCAATGTTGGTAGGTTAGGTGAGCGTAATGCCAAGAGTTAGGTGTGTAATGTGTATAAATCCTTCTTTACGTTGTTTGACACCTTTTTACTGAGGTTAAGTCCAACCGTCCAGCCTCCAGGTCCAGCCAAGGACAGCCAAGTGACCCAGTTTTAAATGTACAATTTACTACAATTACTACTACTATCTTTTTACTGTTTTTCACAATTTTGCATACTGTAGGTCATTGAGTATGTTGTTTGCTTGGGCCCAGTCCAGTCATATATTGACTGCAGAGAGGTCTTCTTGCAACCTCTTGCAGTCCCTCCTGTCCATTATGGTCATTAGTATCCTAGTGTTGTCCACGAATGATCATGCAGAGGTGTAGTTCTCTGCCACATCTATGTTGGCGATGTGAATGAGGAAGAGGATTGGGCTGAGTACAGAGTACCTTTCCCTGTGGTACTCCACTCTTCACCCTAGCCTTGATCTCAAGCCTACTACAAGTTTACAATGCTGAAGTCTCAAAACAATGTCTTCCCACCAAGAAATAGGTAATAATACCACTTCAGTGGAACTGCCATAGCCTCAGTAACAAACTCAGCAATATGAAACTGCACAGTTACTTCAACAAGCCACATGTTGATGTTGTAAGTCTTTCTGAAACATGGCTTTCACCAAACTTTGAACCAACGTTCATCAAATATAACACCATTTATAAACATAGAGAGGCTCCTCAGGCTGGAGGAGGGCTTGCTCTGCTTATCAGGAGTGATGTTACTACCTATTTGGAACACGATATACAACCCTTTCCTCATGGCCTTCTGGAAGTTTGTGGGTCAAAATATACCTGAAGAATAACAATGTGCCAGTATCAGTACTGAATCTTTACAACCATAATAAAAATGTCACCTATTAAGAATTTGATTTCTATTCCTCGCAGTTAGAGCCCTCATGCCTCTGCAGTGACTACTGAGTTATATTTTTACTCATGGGCTGACCATTGGTTCAGTAGTCAATTGTTCCATGTTAGAGATTTTAAAGAACTATCTTAAGCTCTGAATGACTACCTACCCAGAAACTCTCAATTGCTTAAAGATCAACTGGAAAATAGTCTAAATAGATGACTCTCCTACCAACATTCCTCGCAGCAGCTAGTGCTGCGAACACAAATATAGTACCACAACATCCATGTATGTTTGATGATCCTATATAATGTTGTATACCCTAAAAAAAATTCCTAAAATCAATCCCAAAATTCCTAAAATCATTTTGGGTGTGAGGTATTTTTTAGCAAATCAATGAGAATGTGATATTTTACTTGATCTTAAATGAAAGCTCATCAAATTACAAAAGTTCAAGGAGATGTGCTTGTATAAAAGGCACCACCCTAATGTTTATACTCTATTTATAGAAAACCACCCATATTCATACCTAATAATTAAACTTCATATCATCATTTAAGTTATTCTCAATTGTTTATCAATATTTCAGAATATTTGTACGATTTTTTCATAGAAGGTAAGTATCAATATTTGCCAACATGTCAGGAGTGAAGCATGGTTCAGTCTTAATTTAGTTCTTAATGACATACATGTTATATAATACATGTTATATAACATGTTTTCATACATTTTCTATGAATACATAATTCTCAATATTTAATGCTTCCCCTATTACAGAATAAATTAGGTAAATGCCTGTTTTTTCTATTATAATTTATCAACAATAAACAAAATGGAGAAAATTCTTAGTCTCACATTAACAGAGCTGGGTCATGCCTACAGGAAAGACTTGGTCTCCGTAAAGCAGGTATGTCATTGTAACTTATAATGAAATTCATTGTATATTGCTATTAAAATGTTGCTTAGAATATTATGAACCTTGATTTGTTCCTTACAAAACCGTTTGCTTAAGTAAAATCACAACTCTCACTTAAACCTATATTAATGTAAATAAAATTTAGATTAAACTGTTCATCTAAGTACCTAGTGTGAAAAATATGTACTATTTGTTTGGTCATTAACCTAGGTACCCATGACTTGTTTATTTACCGATAATTTCTTGAAATATGTTTCATGTTCAATTTTATATCTATACTACGATGGTACTAGTTGTTTAAAAACACTACCTATTCTTTTCATTCAGGTGCATATAAGCAATTTTTAGGTAACGTTGATAGTAGATTTTTCAAGAATTTCATGTATAATTTTACTATCTCAAGGGCTTTCAATTAGTAAGTCAGGTTGAACATTTGAAGTAATAAATTGCACTACCAGACAATCAACTGATTTGCTAAACAACTCTCATTAACACTATTTATCTAGAATCTTTAACACTATAATGTTTTCCAGACGAGGTGAATTCTTATGCTAAGTTATCTAGTTAGCGGGGCTCAGCGCCTAAGATATAATAGCCATTAATTCAGTACAGCCCGACATGACGCTTGTGCATTGTGTGGTCCAGGTAGTTCAGCAAGTCATGGCACAAATGAGGGTCATGGAGGACCTCAATGCCATCATAACTGTCGCTCCTCACGCCAGAATACGCGATGCTTGTGACGCTGCACAAGAAAGGTAAACGCAGCGTCTATGGCGGCAACCTTAATGAATGTTTAAACTATTATCATATATTTAAACTATTATTATGAGAAGAAACCAGTGTGTGTAGGCAGCAATGCAAGACTGCGATTAGCTTTTATTTGTGCCCTGATGTCCGGTCTACCAAATCCTGTACCTAGGTTTAATTGCATGTCACTGATTATAAAATTAATTAACTAGAGCCTTTGCAAACGGTTAGTGTTAACTGATTGGTAATTGTTTACTTTGAAAGAGTATGTATGTGATCAATTAGATTTGCAATTCAACTTTGCTAAGGACGTGGTTTCTTACCTCACTTTGATATCTCTCTTTTCCATGAATGTTCGTAAACCATGTTCAAGACGTTCATATGCTACTAGTAGGTAATGGTTATATATGACAATTATTCAAATCAATCTTGTATGCTCACAATCCCTTTTGACTAGTCATGCCAAATGAGCTTTAGATGCTAAAAATTTTTTGTCGAAGTACTTGCTGAATGAGCCTGAAAACCTGGATAGTAGGTTGTCAGCAATGTGGTATGAAAGTTCTTTCCAATTCCGAATTTAGTTCATTGTTCTGCAGTAGTGCGTACCTTGACCTGCTCTCGGGAACAGGAAGTGTTTATAAGAGTACGATTGCAATCGTAGTTTCACGTAACTAAGATCAACAATTAGAAGTGTTGTATGCTGTATATGGCTCCCATGTTAGGGTACGCACACAGTGGAAGCAGGTTTGCCTGCGCGGGCAACCTGCTCCAACCTGCTCCAACCTGCCACAAGAATGAACATAGGATAATAATGTAAATGTTCACAGTGAAAACCTGTACGAATAGGCTTGTGTATTCTACGGTTTCAGGCACCAGCCTGAGCAGGTAACCAGCACGCTGGCAACCTGCTTTCACTGTGTGCGTACCCTTAGAACTAAAACATTAAGAGAAAAAACTTGTTGCTTGACATACGCTAATCTACTAGTCATTATCGTTATGATACCAAATGTAATAATTATTTGGTATTTACATGGCTGGTATTTATAGACAAGACCGTCATGAGATGTTGGGACCTCTAGACGGCGTACCGGTGGTAGTGAAAGACAACTACTGCACAAGCTGGTGTAGAACGACCTGCGCCTCCAATATGCTATCTAACTACACACCTCCTTACTCCGCCACCTTAGTTAACAGGTTAGTAACACGCTTAACTACGGTGAAATTAAGTCCATTAAGTCCTGCTAGTATTCAGTCGCATCTGTTATTAGTTAACAGCAGCTTCTGACATTCGTTGACATATTAGCTGCTGACATTTCAGTAGTGCGCTAATTAAGCTGTGCTGAAATTAGGTCTCTATTGCGATTATTCGATCCCATCCATTATTGCTTAACAGGTCGGTAGTGCGCTATACTGACGTGAAATTAGGTCTTTATTGCTATTATTCAATCGCATCTATTATTAGTAAACAGGTCAGTGGTGCGCTGAACTGAAGTAAAATTAGTTATTTATTGCTATTATGTAGACATATTTATTACTCTTCTGACTACGGTGAAATTAGGTCCTTATTGCTAGTATTCAGTCGCATCTGTTATTAGTTAACAGCAGCTTCTGACTTAAGTTGACATATTAGCTTCCAAAGTTTCAGTAGCGCACTTAACTGTGCTGAAATTAAGCCTCTATTGCCATTATGCTATTATTCAATCACATCTATTATTGGTTAACAGGTCAGCAGTGCACTAAACTGAAGTGAAATTATGTCTTTGTTGCTATTATTAAAACATATCTGTTAGTGTTCTGATTCATTATTCCCAGTCTGATTCGTCCATTTGCGACGAATTTCTGCACGGAATTTTTTGCACATGTTACACTCTGACTTGAGCCAATAAAATCAATTTATTTCTATTAATATTATGAATGTGCACGCTAGTGCAACTTTTTTGAAGGTATCTAAGTACCGTACTATTTTCTGGATACTGCATTTAATCTGCCGTGCATGTTATGCTTCAAAATGTTGCTGATGGTTTTGGCTGGATGAATTAAATCTGATCTTTAGCTGATCAATGGTATTTGCGAATGATCACAAATTGTTTTCGAATAGCTAACGTGAGTGGCAAATATGTACCCTATGGCCTCATGTGAATGCGAGTATTTAGTTTTTTGCAAAGATCAATATTAATACCACAAATCGGGTCCAGATTCATCCGTGAAATACTGATTGGTTGTTTAGCTTAAGCTACACCGTGTTTTACGTTGTGACATATTGAAACACCCAACCTGTTCATAAGCCATTACCACTTATATGAATGCTCAGACTGGAGGCTGCTGGTGCTATCATCATTGGTAAAAGCAACATGGACGAGTTTGGCATGGGATCTGGTGGAACAAATTCGGTCTTTGGAGCGACACGTAACTTGTTTCGTTCTGGCAAACCGTACAAACTCTGCGACTCCCAGCTCAGGTTTGTTGTGCGACCAGAGAATTAATGACCAGAGAATGCGTTTATTCAAATTATCAGAGATTCGAACAATTTTTCAGATTGCACGCGTATAAACAAGCCAATTATGCTATTGTAGTAATACTAATTTAAGTTATTATTTAGATGTATTAGGCTGCCAACAGTTTTAGGCACCCGGCAACCTGTTGAGATTGCAAACTTTTCTCCGAGATGTTTCTTTGTGCAAATTGTATAACTTAATCTATATTAATTCACTTTATCTCAATGAATGAAAGCCAATTATATCACATTTTGCCTCTGTATATACTAATATGCAAACGTAGGTTAAACTTATATTTTCCTTATCTTTAACTCTTCTATTTTTCCCTCTGCACCAAAGTCAGACGACCCGAAACCTAGATATTTTGCTTGCACATCGTCTGCTGTCAGACGGACAAAATAAATAAGCAACAATTGTTGTCAGATGTGACGGCCTGCCTGGCGGCGCGTGGGTGGCAAGCGGGGGAAGTTCTGGTGGCAGCGCCGTGGCGGTGGTGGCAGGCTTGGCTTACGGGTGATGACGGTGGGGGAGCGTACATACGTGGCTCTCATACATTATTTCGCTCTCATACATTATTTCGCTCTCATACATGCGTGGCTCAATCATACACGTTTATCTTCCTGTTATTTCGCTCTCATATATACGTGGTTCAATCATACACGTTTATCTTCCTGTTATTTCGCTCTCATATATATACACGTTTATCTTCCTGTTATTTCGCTCTCATATATACGTGGTTCAATCATACACGTTTATCTTCCTGTTATTTCGCTCTCATATATACGTGGCTCAGTCATACACGTTTATCTTCCTGTTATTTCGCTCGTATTTCTGTGAAATTTACTCTTCTCTCATTATTGGGAATTTCATTCTTTGCTCATTAAACTACCTGCTCGTTAAAAAGCAACTTGAAATGTTTCAGATTTACATCTGTATTTGAATCGGTATTTATTTCATCTGTGGCTTTCTCTCATAGACTTCTTGATCTTTGGTTATTCTACATTATGTGTTGATGCTTCTTTATGAATTCTTGTTCACAGTTTTCTTAATTGTTTGCTAATTTCAGTAGTTAGGATTAGTGCTCTCTTCATGAGTAAGTTGAATGTTGTGCACAGAGTCGTTTAGCAAAGAACTATTTATAGAAGGCAATATATTCTCTTCAACTTAACATACCCTATTCTATTCAAAGTATCATATTATTTAGGTTTTTTGGAAAGCTATCTGTTAACTAATGAATCTTTCTATTCTCAGAAGAGACCGGAAAATTAAAATTTTCGACCGGATTGGTCATTGATATGCTAATGAACAGTACCCTATCAAAATTTTTAGTTGGTGGCGACCCTGAATTAGGAACCGCCTAGGACTCAGACCGAACGTAAATCAGCTTCTCTATGTCCGCTTTTTGGTCTACATTCCGGTCCCCGAATCAGACAGCTACCAGAGCCTGGTGAGGGGACTGAGGGAATTCTGCCAACTCTTGCCCTACTCTCAGGAGACTATAAAGTCGGCCAGGAGGTTCTGACTAGACGCTGAATGCGATCAGGTGGCCGACTGACCCAGAATAACTTTAACGCGAACATAGCAACTCTGGGGCAGAGGCTGAAGCATATACCCAGAATTTTATTAGGGAATTTGAATCTCGCCTAAAAATACCCTGATATACGTCCTCGGATTCTTCAAAGTATTCCTGCATTTTTTGACCTTCACTTTTAGGGCCCCAACTCGTTGGTCTAATGTCAGTAAATAGAGTAAACTTCAAGCAACTCTTAACGTTTTGTTCGGTGCCCAGGGGTCTAGGGTCTGACACTGGTGGATCAGTCCGCAACCCAGCATCTGTGTGCGGTCTGGTAGGTCTGAAGCCCTCATACGGGACGCTATCCCGCCACGGTCTCGTGAGCCTCGCCAACAGCTTGGACTGTCCTGGAGTGCTGGCGCGTTCTTGCGCCGACTGCGCGGCTCTCATGCACGTCCTGCTGCAGGGCGGTCCTGATCACCAGGTCTGCATCTCGTACTTGAGTGTTAGTTCTTGAACGAGTGTATCTGTTAACACGTTGACTCCGAAGTGGTACAGATGCGTACCACGAAATGTATTTCTCCAGGACGTAGTGGTATATAATTCAGGTTGCCTGAAATCGGCCAAATCCGAGAACAAAAAATGCCAAAAAAGGCCGATAACTCAATATATACTAGTTTATTTAAAGGTTCCGCTATAAAAATTCAATTTATTTTCTTTTTGCAGTACTTAAAAATTAATTAGGAAGTACCCCTATCATAAATTTTAGCAGGCCAACGCAATTGAGACTAACTAATTCACGTAATTTGTCAGGAAAAAATGACCGGCTGGCAACCCTGTTTAAAAACAGTACAAAAAATGAAATAATATAGTACAAGATGAAGCAATCGGAGTCAAAGTGTTAATTGATCGTTGATTGCATTGATCGCAATTGATCGCAAATGCATTTGTTACTACTCGATCGATAATATTTTTTTGATCGAGAGCAAATGCTACCCAATCATTGAGATTTTTTCGCACGAGTGCATCCGGTACTCGATTATTAAGTTTTTTTTTTTTGCACAAGCGCAACTGGTGGTAAATAATGAAGAGTTTTTCAACCGAGTAATTTCAAGCTATGGTCTTAAATCTCGTTGCATTTTAATCGGTTTTGCTACGCAAACAAAGAGATATTTATTATAGCACAGTGGTCGTTTGTAGATCAAATTGTTCCAGAGAATATTTATTTTGTACAATTTATAATGGATATTCCATTATAAATTGGCACTTTATTCCATAATGACACTATATTCCATTGAATATATATTATTGACACTTTATATATAGTGTCAGTATACATATATTGATACATATGCATATATGACACTTTATATATAGTGTCAGTATATATATATTGATACTTAAACACGAGTGGTTAATGACCAGAGAAATCATTGATTTAAATTTTCAGGAACGAACAATATTCTTCAGTGGACGTTGGTTGATAAAAATTCAGGTTCAAGGAAGTAATTTAATTTATTAACGACGTTTCGAATGTGACATCATTCATTTTCAAGTTATAGAAAGCATTGAATACTGAAATTTTGGCGGAAATAAGAGTAATTAGAAGTAATTTAATAAATTAAATTACTTCCTTGAACCTGAATTTTTATCAACCAACGTCCACTGAAGAATATTGTTCGTTCCTGAAAATTTAAATCAATGATTTCTCTGGTCATTAACCACTCGTGTTTAAATAAGCTTATTCTGCTATCTTATAGTTATATATTGATACATATACATATATTGACACTATATTCCATATAGTGTCAGCTTTCCTGACGAGTGTGCGTCTGTGAGCAGGACAGCACGAACGTGTCCGTGGAGTGGGGCGGCGCCCCCCTACAAACATGCAGCGTGCGTGGGCTGCGTGTAGGTGTGCCTGCGGAGTATCACTGCGTGGGACTACACGCACAGGTCCTGCGTGCCTGGCGTCAAGTTGCTGACGTCCTCGCTCGAGCTGGAGCCCAGGTCTGCATTAGTTACGATAAAAATTAAATTTAAAAATTAAAAAGAAATTAAAATGAAAAAGAAAGAAATTAATATGAAAAAAATTAAAAATGGAAAAGAAATTAAATTTAAATTTTTGGGATAAAATGCGTACATATAAATTACCTGTCGCCATTACTGTTACCTCTTTAATATTCAGAAATATCATGTGTTCTAACTCTGGCAAAATTCTTCTGGGAAGGTCAGATAGAAATATTAAGAAAAAATGGATTTATCTACTTCGTATAAATGAGAAATAATACAGAGCCTCTGTTTTCTTTGGAACAGAATGCCTAATTTTTTGAAGTAGCCGCTTTAGTTTGAATGTTTGGATTTTTTTTTTTTTTTTTTTTTAAGGTGGAGCCCGTGTCACTGCCTCAGATGTGTATAAGAGACAGATCCTATATAATGTTGTATACCCTAAAAAAAATTCCTAAAATCAATCCCAAAATTCCTAAAATCATTTNTAATGCTGCGGTGCTGCTAGTACACGCGCTACACCGGTGCGTGTAATGCTGCGGTGCTGCTAGTACACGCGCTACACCGGTGCGTGTAATGCACTCCAGTGCTGCTGTGCAATTATTGTCTTTGACTTCTCACTGACCTCATGTATATTAGACATTTAAGTGATATTTTATAAGAGCTCTTTGACGTCTCTACCTTCAGTAAAGAAGATCTCGTCGAGTAGCTACTAAATATTACGAAAAAAGAAGTTTGATTACAGTAGGTTGATGGCGGTTGCCAACTATTGCAAAAAAGCTTCCTGGAAAATCATTGCAATTAAACTGTGACCCAAGCCTAAATTCGCTATTTAGGAATATTTTCTGTTGGTTCGCTTTGTCCTTTATTTCCATGTCGTAATTTCGGATCGTAAACCGCGAAAGAATTTAGTCCTAACGAGCTCCTGTTTTTAGTTATTTTCAGCGAAGTGTCTGAATTTTAGTTCTACATTTCCATCATTGAAAAGTCCTTCATTTCTTTATCCTGTGCTAAATACCTTGTCCCACTATAAATTTATGCACCTAAACATAGTGCCCTTTAATTGTTTTATTCATATTGACTTATTCATGTCAATGCATGTGCAGGAGTGCAGTACGGGACACGGGTCGCATGCAGCCACTCCATGGAAGCGCAGTTTGCGCTCACCAGAGCAGCGGGTCTCAGTCAGGTCGTCAGGGAGAGGATCCTGGCCGGCAACTTCTTCCTGCTCAAACGTAACCGCGACCGCTACTTCCTACAAGCTATGAAGGTTTGTGTTCTGCTCAAACGTTACCGCAACCGCTACTTCCTACAAGCTATGAAGGTTTGTGTTCTGCTCAAACTTAACCGCGACCGCTACTTCCTACAAGCTATGAAGGTTTGTGTTCTGTAAAGATGTTGTCTACACTCACTAGTGTATAATGCCTGTATAAATGATGGTAAATTTAGTCCCATGAGAACTTTGCGAATCGCTGGCCACTTTATGCACTACTTTAGAAGATGATGAAAATTAATTCTCAACTTTATTATAGTTTAATTTTTAATTATTTTCTCACTCGGGCAATGATAACTACAGACTTTTTATACTAATGTAGATTCTATCATCAAAACTTATCACAAAATTGAAGGTCGTAAATATTTATATGCAGAACTTAAGTCCATAGTTGAGTTCAACAAACACTTTGTTGTTATAGTTCCTTTTATGCCTTATATTAGCAATTTCATCCGTCCTATTCCATGTAGAAAACAATCAACATGTTACTTATTTTCTATCATCGTCAAATTTCGCAGGTACGGCGTTTGATCAAAGAAGATTTTGATGCCGTATGGCGGTCTGGAGTGGACGTTCTCCTCACCCCCACGACCCTCTTTCCCGCTCCCCGGTCAGTGCATGCTACACTAGCGGTGCTTCTATTGCTTTTTATGACCCGGGTTAATGACTAGAAATTTAATTAGCTCGTCATTAAGAGCTGAGTAATTCTCGTTATAAATTAGCTAGTCATTAAGAGTAGTGTAATTATCTAGTATATAGAGCTATTAGCTCTATGTACGTGTGTGCTCCAAAGAGTCGATAAGCTTTAGTCGCACGTTTATGCTACGAAGCCAGTGGTTAAGCTTTAGTCTCAGTTTACTGTATTATTGACCTCAAATGATGTCGGACCACGAAAAAACTTATTAATATCTGCACTCAGAGCTGAATACATTGCTGGGAGCTACTGATGTTCGCGTCTTCTTTAGCTCCTATACACTAGTTTTCTTTTAGATGAGATTGAGGTTTTGGATGACTCCAAGTTGAATGAAGCTAATGTTGACTTTCTAAAGAGATCTCGTATCATTGATTTACAAACGCAGCTTATCTTAACAAATTTTTATCCCATTTTTAGCGCATTTTCTCATTTATGGAAAAAATGCACTATTGTGCTCGCCATGTCCGTCAGTCTGTCTGTCCGTCCGTCCGTCCGTCCGTCCGTCTGTCCGTCCGTCCGTCTGTCCGTCCGTCCGTTACCTCAAGTTTTCGTCGACGAGAAAATGCGCTCTCTGTCACTCACTGCAGTGAGTACTGAGTTATATATTTTTTTCAGGCCTGAACTGTTCGTGGTGAAGAACTACAGTGAGCTGACGTACGTTCAAGACATGTGTACCAGTCCTGCTAACCTGGCTGGACTCCCTGCCCTCTCCCTACCCGTTGGCTATACAACAAACCATCAGAATAATTCACCAGACCATCACATGCCTGAGTTAAGATACGAGTCTGCACCCGTAACCGAGATAAATGAGAGTCAGTGTAATTTGGCCGCTGCTGATGTGGCTGGAGCAGATCATGGTATCGAAGGGCTTCCATTATCCTTGCAGTTGATAGCGCCTTACGGACAAGATAAAAGATTGCTTCAGATCGGCATGTGTTTGGAAGAACTCTTAAATATTCCTAAATTAGTTTTACGAGATCCTCTTTAGGTTACGAGACCCTGTGGCACTAACTAGTCGTTACCTACTCAAAGTTGAGACATCGTGTAAACTACCTATAATATACATACCTACATTTTCTGTAATAAAGCCTACCAGAAATTTCGATGCATAATTTCGACTCTAACCTCATATATCAAGTTCGCCATTGACCCATTCGTATTTTACATCGTAAAAGATTGAGCAAATACTTCTTGGGGCTGTGCATAAATCTTTTATTTTTAGAAAGTTTTTTCTCGGCCTACAGTTCAATATTTCCCCAAAAAATCTTTTATACATTTGTCACCATTTGTTCCTGTGTTAGAAGATTGGCGTCTCAAAATCTATCTATAGTGCGGAAGTCATGAGATACTAAAGAACGTGGAGGAAAGCGTTGAAGCAAAAAGTAAAATTTGTTATTCAAATTTTTAGTTGTAAAGTTTAGTTTTATTAGTATTTACTGTAATAATTCCGTATTTCAAGATTCAGGATACTGGCATTTCAAGTTAATGATATTTTTCAAATCTCACCGAATCTCGACATGTGCTTCGGGCAACGCCAGGCTTACCAGCCAGTTGCTGGTAAAGCGGGCGTGAGCTGCCGAGTTAAAACAAAAACTTCAATTAGTCATATGTATCATTTACTTCTATATCGGTCTCTCTTCTGAATTTTAAGCCTAATAGCCGTACTTTCTCCGGTTTTTTCTTCGCAAATATTCGTATCAAGAGCTGATCTTGTGACGGTCTTGTGTCAATCGGACCATACTGGAACTTATACGTTGTTATCTCATTATCTTCAGTCGGATTTTACGTACTAACTCTGATACTTACTTCCAACGGCCACAACACAGTACACACTCCACTCTAGCTGGCAGTTTTTTTTTTTTTTTTTTGGCAGGCGCATTTTCTTCTTTATTGTTTTCTTTATTGTTTTCTGGGGTTTTCGATTATTTGAATGTATTTCAAGACTAAGAATACCGAGTATACCAGTAAGAGCGAGCCATGTTCAGACGCAAGTTAACCAAGTATGTAAATACGCAGGGCATGTAAAAAATTAGTTTTCCGCAAAGTGAAACATCATTTATTTAGCTGAAAAGTTCAAGTTCTGTGTTTTATTCATGTAGGTATTCACGCACTAAAAATTCTGTTAACAAAAGTATTATATGCGTATTGCTGATGCAGTAAGTAATTTCGTTTACTATAACGAATGATAAACCACAGAACTTCAAAGCTTGATTTTGCCAGTCGGAGTACAATTAAATTTATTAACGGATTTGACTTCGCCCTCGGGCAAGCCGCTTTTAAGCCACCTACCACTTGCATATTGTAAACGCCCTACAATAAATATTTCCTACGACAGCCATTATACCAACCAGACTCAACACTAACGCAGATAAGTTTATAATGTTTGCATGCGTGTTGCGATGAATTCCCCCTCTCGAATGGCTGCTATCATCTCAAATCAAAACATATCTAATCTTTTAACTTCTCAAAAGCATCCCCCCTCAGGAGGGACTTCTGACGTGTGTCAGTGCTCGTCAAAAGTCCTATGGGATTTCGCGCTCCTAGGGGAATGTTCCTGAGCGCCCCACCGCTGAGCTCGCGGTGTCTGAGTGCTGGCGCCTCAAAATTTTTTGGCCCGCACTTCAATCCGGTCTCAGTTGTGGGGTAAGTTATTATTTAGGTAGGATTGCTTTCATTTCCCTTCTCTGTCTCTCGTGCGGGCGGCCGACGTCCCGTGTAAGCGACCTCTTGCTCGAGTGTCTTAGTTTCTGTTGCTTTTCACCTGTCCCTCCTTGTCACTTCGTCTCTTTGAGATGCTAACGCTGCTTCTTTCGAGCCAGTTTCAGCGGGCTGGACATCTGAGACCTTCCGCCCCTTGTAGATGATGAATGATTTTTTTTATTTAAGAAACTTACTATAACTAAGACCTTCCACCTCTTTGATGATGTTCATCTTGACTTTCGGTGCGAGATAGCTATAGCTGAACCGCTAGTAAACATATGGCCACTAAACCAACCAACCAACCATTTCAAAAGCATGCCGGAGACAACTTTACCAAACTTCACATTTCAGTTCTTATTCCTTCCGTCTGTAAGCATTCTAGAGGGTATAGCAGCATATCAAATCGGTGCTTAAAGCTATGGCGTCTTATGTTCACAGCTTCGTCATTATCATGCTCATGTTAAGCATGACCAAACTGCATTCCTCCTAACCAACTCCGGTCTAACCGCTTCTGACCTTAGCTACAAACGTTGCAACAGTTTTCCCCCAAAACAAACCTCATCAGCCCTAACCTAACCTCATAGGCTGCAGGAAAATAGGCTTTGAAAATCAGCAGGTAGATCCGGTCCTTGACGCGAAAGAATAAAGACGGTTTTAAACCGGGCAAGTGTGAAGAGGTTAGGCCACATGAGGCAAGGCTGGAATAGGCGATACCGGATGCAGAACTTCCTGTCTATGAGCGACCATGCTTTTGTATTAGCTGAAGGCCTATGGCGTTATTATCTTTAACGCAGCGTGTCACTAGTCTGGATTACTGAGTTTCAGCGCCGTCTGCGCCCTCCAGCTCTGAAGCTGAGTGTAGTTATTGCTTGCTGATCCTAGGTGTAGGCTCCAGGGCTTATTTCCCCGCAGGGAGGACTTCTGGCGCGTGTCTGTGCGCGTCAGAAGTCCTATGGGATTTCGCGTTCCTAGGGGGATTGTTCCTGAGCGCCTCACCGCTGAGCTCGCGGTGTCTGACTGCAGGTCTCAGTTGTGGGGTTAAGTTATTATGTAGGTAGGATTCCTTACATTTCCCTTCTCTGTCTCTCTCGTGCGGGTGGCCGACGTCCCGTGTAAGCGACCTCTTGTTCGAGTGTCTTCGTTTCTGTTACTTTTACCCTCCCTCCTTGTCACTTCGTCTTTTTGAGATGGTAAAGCTGTTTCTTTCGAGCCAGTTTCAGCGGGCTGGACATCTGAGACCTTCCACAACTTGTGGGTGATGAATGATTTTTTTTGATTTAAGAAGCTTTTGATAATTGAGACCTTCCACCTCTCTGGTGATGTTCAACATGACTTTCGGTGCGAGATAGCTGAAGCGCTAGTAAACATGTGGCCACTAAACTAACTAACTCCAGGGCTTGTTGAACAGTTAAATTTGTGGCCCGTGGTTGCGCCCTCGTAAAATACGTTTGATTATCCGCTTGGGCGTGCATAATACATACTAATTGGATGATTACTGAGATATTTTCCTGTTTTGTAAGACGTGGCTATCGAAATTTCTGTGGGTCTAAGAGATATTAAAGTTCGTTTAGCTTATCGTGTATATTATCTTGCGATATAAGAGGCAATAGATAGCTGAGAAACATATTGGCTTACTATTTTGTAGATAAGGGATTGTTTATTCTGCCATCGCGACTAGTGAAGGCTTCTATATCGCTTATCGCGTAACTTATCTTGTGAGGCAGCCGGCTACGTGACTATCTAGATGGATGGAAGATAGCCACACTCGATTCGATATGATAGAATAGCTTGGAAGAATACTGCACTCTGTGTCGGGACTCCTTCAAGGACAGGCCAGTGTTGCTACCACGTGAGTTAGTGTGTACCATTCAATTTGGGAAATTGAATTTCCTATTTTTAAATAGGTTTGTGTGGTCTACAGCTAGCAAGTCAACGTAATGTGATTTATCCCTTTTTAAGTGTTTAAGTTTCATAATTTCTGTTCTTCAGTACACGCTCGAAGAAAAATTCAAGTAAGACTGCAGTGAATATGTTTGCCATATTCGCTTTTTCCATAGTTAAGATGAGGAACCTTTTATGCAGTGAATATGTTTGTGGTAGTCACTTATTCCATAGTTAAATTGAGGAACCTTTTATTAATTAAATTACTTGGTTAACATGGCTTGGTGAATTAGTACAAATTTATACTGAAGTGGAGGCTAATTTGGTCGATAGGCATTTTTGCTGAAGAAACTAGCATTTTAAATTGTGGCTAACTTCGTGTGAGACAAAAATCGCATGTAGTTAACTTCTGTCCATAATGATGACACAATATCCATTTACGTGCTCGCCGTCAGCCGTATTCCAGAGTAAAGCGAAGTGATGCATATTATGCAAATATTTTATATTTGCGTATTATATTTGATCTAAACCATTTTATCGTGAAACAGTTGAGAATTTAGAGTATAAACCATTTACTGAGTTACGGTATAAAAGGAATAAAATTACATTCATTTTTAAAGACTTGCTATAACAATAAATACGATGCAAATCATACTCGAATTATTAGTGCACTGTAAAAACACCTTCAAGTCTATGAACAAAAAATAATAATGGAGCTAAAATTCAAATTAAGTATTAAACTAAGTAATATGATAACGCTAATGACCATCTTATAAGTGAGTGCAAGTATGACTGATCACTGAAGATTCGCTTCCTAAGCAGGCTCTTCTTTTCCCTACCATTCCTCGAATATCTAATTACTAAAGTAGGGTTACAACGAACGACGATTTGCATATTCGTTTCGAAATACTTCGTTATTCATCATCGTACTGGGCCCATACTTTCAAAAAAAGTTGAGTGTTCGTAAGTTCATTAGCCAATCATTGACGGCCTTTCAAGCAAAATCCACCAATCATAGACAAGAAAATATAGCGTAAGTACTTACGTTCACTTAGCGAGTTTTGAAAGTATGGCCCCTGCTGAACTCGTACCATTCGCGTTATGCGAAATCATTTGAGATATGTCAAATATGATCCGGTATAAATGAAAGGGTCCGGTATAAATGAAGAAAATGGTTCTGTCAACCATTTATAATTAAGTCTGCCTATTAATGTAACTGCCAAGTTAGGTTGGCATCCTGATCTCACCAAATGTCTATTAATAATCAAAGGATTAACTTGTCAAAATGTAATCCGTGCGTTCGAATTAACTCTTATCGCAATATATTTGTCTTATATCGTAATATATATTATATCGTTTTGTCTCTTATTGTCGTTCTGTCTCTTGTCTTATTTTGTCTATTATTGTTTTGTCTCTTGTCTTATCGTCTTATATCGTTTGTCTCTTATCGCAATATATTTGTCTTATATCGTTGTATTGAGCCTCGTTTTATATCCATCTGTCTAATACTGTTTCACAATATCCGGCAGACAATTTTACGATTCCCGAACACCATTATTGCCCTGATTTATAATTTTTCTCCGGGGCATTTTTTCCATTTTTCCGATTTTTTTCCTGGACACTCCTCTCGTCTTGTTATCCCGGTTCATTTTGATGTAACGATACTAAAAGTCAGTAGTCTATCCTCAACTCTTTCTTTTTCTCAGAAGAGCGCAAGATCACCAGAACTTTACCTACCCATAAGCTGATTAGTAGATCGTCAAACGAAACCCTTTAATAGTTCCTTCGTAAACCGTCATGGACGCTTCGTCCGAAATTGCTAATATCATCGACGGCAACCGTCAGTTGAGGTCACAAGAATCCAGTGACTCAAATTCAGTTGACTCGAAGATAATTTCTTCAGCGGTTCCCACGTTCGAAGGAAATTTTCCATCTTTGTCTCCTGAAGTGCCTATGCTGTTGCAAAGGCCTCCGTATTTCACGAACGCTACGCTTTTTCAGTCCCCGTCACGCAGCATGCACGCCTCTAACGTTGAGCGCTTAACCCTCCTCAAAGTTATGTCTGATCATCTGCCTTCACTCGAGACGCGAGACACGGACGCCAAGACGGTCCACAGGAGGGCTTCCGTCTGGAATGAAATTACCTTGAAATTCAACAAGACTACGGAAGTGAAACGGACTCGACATCAAGTGAGTAACGCTTTCCGCGGTATTGTCTCTAGACCAGCCATTCAGGTTGAAGGTGTAAAACGCGACCATCGCATTTCGTGTAGCAGTCACTTCGTGCGTCACTCAGTGCATGTATGTTCATTAACGTAACGGAAATTAAGTTATTCCTACTGTAAATCCTTTTGCGACGATTGATTTTGTTTTAATGTTAACTCTTGATATGTGCAGCACCGAATTTTCTTGAATTATAGACTCGGCAACAGAAAAGCACTAGAACGCGCAATCATGGGGGCATTAGATCGAAGAAAAAATGTTTAATGGTAATCCAAAAAAATTGTACCTAATTCATCGAAAATCATTACGAACATGCAAGCATAATCTAGTAGCCTTTTCCCACTAATATGTCAGTATGTTCCTATTCACAGGTCCAAACTCTATACAAGAACATGAAGGCGAAGGCAAAGAAGTACCAGTCACGCTTACTGGAACACACGCTGGTGGAGCGCGACGCGGTTTCGGAGGTGTTGCTTAAGATGCTCAACGACGAATACCAGCAGCGCACGTCTGTCATGCAACAGGCCGCAATTATGGCCTTCAAAGAAGATAGCAGCAACTTCAAAGAGTTGCCTCTTGTCGCTGTAAGTTGACAACATGAAACAAGTTATTAAAATTGTTTTGTTCAGTCTGAGCTTGAGGCCTCCCCACGAGTGGTTAACGGAATGATTGTAAAGAATTCTAAGCCGTATTTTTATTTCTTATTAGAATGTAATGATGGGATATAATAATTCTATTAAATTATATAATAATGCATCATAATAATACAACAATGCTACTATTTATAGAATTATTAAAAGTTTCAACTAATCATAATGAATAAAGAATTATATCTGGATTATGTCGTTCAAAGTTTTTAAAATTTATCGTGGATTGTTGTATATTTTAGCGCGACCCATCGCAGTTCCTGAAGCAAGAACTGCTCGAGGCTTCAGAAGCCGACTCCAGCGCCGTAGCGTCGCCGCGAGCGAGCGTTGCGAGTAGCGCGGGCTCCCCGCGCTGTGAGAGTGAGAGCAGCGACAGCGCCGGCAACGAGCCTCCTGCCGACGCTGAACCGAGTGACCAGGCTTCTTGCATTCAAGGAAATGAAGTGAAAACTGAAGCTTGTGCTGGAGCTATATGTGACGATGAGAGAGACAACAGTTTCCAGGCTGAAAATTTGTTCGACATTAAAGAAGTGAACTCTTCTCCTCATCCCGAACCTGACCAGCAGCAAAAAGATCAATGTTCTCAATATTTATCTCAGACTGAGAACGTATTAAATGATGGGCATGAAATGGATCAAAATTCTAATTTGGTTAAGTCGACGAATCCAGTTGAAAATTTATCAAAAAAGAGGAAATTAGAAGAAGTTGAAAGTGAAGGTTCGCACAATCACCTCCTGACTCACGATAGAGATGGCGCACTAGCTGTAGACTTGACTAGCCTCGACACGGAAATCGGTTCTACTTCTCCCAAGCTAAGAGCATCCTGCTCGTTCATGTTAAATGAGATACTGAAAATGAGGCGAATCGAACATGAACTGAAAGTTAAAGTTCTTAAAGAAGAGCTGGATTACATCATAGAAAAACGGAAAGAAGAAAAGGAAATTAGAGCGACTGAGCATAAATTTCGCCTTGAAGATTTAAGCAGGCAGAGAAAAGAAGGATATATTGATAACAATCCCGAATGATTCTACCAACATTGTGTCCTGCGTTAGCATATGTATTGTTGAGTGTGAACATTTCATGTGGTTTAGTTGTTGCTTTTTTACGAAGAGTATTACGAGGGCGTGGTTTCAAAAATGTCTCGTCACGCTGAGCAGCGATGTTAAGCCAGTTTGACTTCAAGTGATCCGATTTTCCTCACCAGAAGACGAAAATGATTGAGGAGACTGAAATTGAAGGCAGGACCACAGTTGCGCATTTTCCCTTATCTCTCGTGTAACAGTAGCATCAGCAGCCCACTCAAGTGGTCAATAAGTGTTTGGATGGCAACAGGTTTTGGAATTTATTCATTTTGGATAAGATGACTCATTCTCAAAAATATTTCGCTGTTTTTAATAAATGCTTTTATATTTGAGGATCTTTAAAGATTCTTCTAATTACCCTTATCTCCAAAATGGCAGATTAATACATAATTGCTATAATTCGTTCTATCGAAGCAATGTTTACACTATACCGCATCATTGTCTTACCTTAACCTTAACCTATAAAAAATGTGCAGAAGATTACTATCATATGCCTCCTTTTCTTCATAGCATTAGCCGGCAGGCATAGTCTGCAATATTCGTCTATGTAATTGTTAATTTTCTCCTTCGCACTTGACGCTAGTACCTCGCGTTTGTTTCTTACTGGCGAACAACAAAAGCGAGCTTCGTCAGCAGGTCTCAACAAAAAGCACGTCTTACTAACGAGCAAAACTTTCCATGCGTGTGCCAAGCTGCAACTCTTGTTGCTTTCTTCACCGTTCACATCAAATCTAGAAGAACTGCACGTACGACCATTGGGCTAAACTCGGCACTTAATGCTACTATGGAAATAAGTTATCACTGATTTCATTAGTGAACAACAAGTGAACAGATAATTGTGGAATGCTTTTTGATATGAATTTTGATGCGACAAATTAGGCTGCCAAGAGGCCTGCTAGCTCAGCGTGAATTTAACCGCTTATCGAGTGAGAACTTACGCTCGAAATATCAATAATTTTTTACCCTTGCAGCTTGGCTGCGGAGATCTGCAGTACGGAGAGTGGATTTAGAATCTCTTAATCTCACTCATATTTCTAACAATTAAACTTGCAATTTTCTTACGTAAATACAATTTTATCTTGTGTCTTCTATGTGCCAATAACATTGATAGAAAATCTACGCACTTAGTGAGTTCTGCGGAATAGAAAACCGTATTCATCATAAAAATTGCAGTTGACGAGGGCATTACAAGTAGAATGAAAGCACATTCTGGCTTATGCCTAAATTTTAGTTGGGTATTTACACTTCGCCAGATTGTTGACTGCCTGAGACAAGATAACATGAAAACTATCTGTAACAGTTTACACGCCACCGTTCTGTTCTCAGAACGGTTCCGCGTACCACCGTTATTTCTCAGAACGCCACCTGCAGTGGTACGCGGTGATTGTGCGAAATATCCGAGATACCGGCTACAATACAAATTTTGTAAACCATGGCTAATTGGAACGAAACATAAATGCGATTTGTGAAAGGTCTCAAGTCTAGTAACTGACGTAATAGACTTGAGAGTGATACCTTATTTGAGAGACTATATGATGATAACTTATATAATTAACTTCAGTGTGGCACCAATTTTTTTAAACGTGGAAGTGACACCTGGTGTAAAAGATTTGGTAGTGGTACCCAGTGTAGTAAACTTGTGCGTGGTAGCTTATCTCATCGACCTCATCTAAATGACTTAGGACGGTACCTTGTACAATAGACGTGAGAGTTGTACCTTATCTAATATACTTGACGGTGGCACCTTATTTAATAGACTTGGTGGTGGCACCTTATTTAATAGGCTTGAGGGTGACAGGTACCTTACGTCATAGATTTCATACCATATCTATTAGGCTCGAGTAATTTCAAGTGTAATACGCTCCATGTTGATACGTGACTTATTAGATTTGAGAGCGGTAGGTCATTAAATTTGTAGGTGACAATCGGAACTCTCAAAATATTTACATGTCCATATGATTTTTAAGTTGCAAATGGATATTTCAACTCTGTTAATGTTATTCGTGAAGACGAATATATCGGATGGGTGAGTGTGATATGAGATGGGTGAGAATATAGTGACCCTTCCCTCATATATATGAGGGAAGGGTCACTTTATGACGTCAGAGTAACTTTAATGGTATCGTTAAATTGTCATAATTGCTCGAGATTTTCCTGAATGAAAGTTTGGTCATCACGGCGCTACAATGATTTATGCATAAACTGATCTCATCAATAAGAATTCTTCAGGAAACTTTTGAGTTTTACATGAACCTCTACGCGGCATATCTTATGACCGTGCCGATCGGGATAAAAAACGCTTTGAGCAACGCGAAAAATCGCATCACGGTAGAGTTGAATGAAACAATATTATTATCGTATACTAATAATAGTGAATAAGTACCTTATAATATTATATAACACATGAAATATAGGACCATGACTATAGTAAACACTAATGTTTATTATGGTGTAGGCAACGAGGCAAGAGCTTTCATTCACGTCCTCCTGTCCAATTTACGGCTCTCGTCCTGAAGTTTTGTTTGGAAGACGCAGTGCGATTAGCTCTTTGTCCTTAAGCTCTAATATATAAGCAGGAGTTCTACTGTTAATGAAGCCATATTTAACACTACAGCCAAGCTGGAAAAATTAATCACACGCATAAAATACCACGCTTCCCTTAATTAATCTTAATTAATGCTAATTAACTGCCCCTAATTAAGAATAAAGTTACTGCAGCATTAAAACAAGTACACAGCTAATCCATTGCAGGCTTCCTCGTCGCTAGGAGGATGCATGTGTGATGTCTCTACATAGTTCTGCATGCCGCAGAAAAGTTTCTTCACTTAACACCAAACCTTTAATTAAGGAAGCTTTATATTTGTTATGCATGAAGATTCATGAATGCAGGAGCTTATCTGTTCTATCTTTACGCCTGTACAGAATCATGAGGGTAAACTGTCGTTCAAATGAACGAATGTTTACAATGAAAGCTTGAATCGGTATCAAAATTAACGACCTCTGTCTCGTATTCTAGTCGAAGGTTCGCTTATTCGCTTCTGTAAGGCAGACGTCTTTGCTACAGCGTCAGTATCACAGTAACAGTGCATGTGAGTACAGTGCAATTGCGATTGCTGATTCGAATATGACTTCCCTTTCTGTAGCACTGTAGAAGATACTATTTTTGATCAGTCGTGAACTGAAAATACTAAAGTAGAAACAGTAATATATCAATTCAACTATTAACTATTAATAAGCGTTTGTATCTGGCACGATGAATATCGAAATGTAAACATTACTCACAATAGGCTCCAGTAGAAATTGATTTAGTCCTATGACAAATTATTGGAAAATAATAAATTCTATCACCTTTCTCCTTCAAGACAAAACAAACCAATTCTGTGTGAAGGTAACAAAAAGTGCAGCTAAAAGGCTAGAAACAGAAGTACGCACAAGGATTTATAACAGAATGCACTTACCGCCGAGAAGAATTTTTAGCGTTTTTGTGGTGCTGACGTTCCTCTCTTGCTCCGCCACGGAGATCGACGCTCGAGCGCAACGTAAGTCCTTGCGTTGTATGAACGCGGGTTAGGAATTCAGGCTCAACACAACGTAAGTCCTTATGATACATGAACGCGAGTTTATAGCTCTGGCTCAACACAATGTGAGTTCTGACGATAGATGAACGCGGGTTTGCTTTGGCTCAACACAACGTGAGTTCTGGTGATATATGAACGCGAGTTTATAGCTCGGGCTCAACACAACGTAAGTCCTGGCGATATATGAACGCGAGTTTATAGCTCGGGCACAACACAACGTAAGTCCTAGCGATAAATGAACGCGGGCTGGAGCTCAGGCTCAACACAACGTAAGTCCTGGTGATATATGAACGCGGGTTTACAGCTCGGGCTCAACACAACGTAAGTCCTGGCGATATATGAACGTGGGTATATAGCTCGGGCTCAACACAACGTAAGTCCTGGCGATATATGAACGTGGGTATATAGCTCGGGCTCAACACAACGTAAGTCCTGGCGATGTATGAACGTGGGCAGGAGCTCAGGCTCAACACAACGTGATTCTTGGCGGAATATGAACGCCGGTTTGGAGCTCGAGTTCAACAGAAAGTAAGTCTTTGCGATATATAATCGCGAGTTCGAAGCTTGGGTTCATTTACTCTATAAAAAGGCGCTGCCCGTGTTAGGACCCTGTAAGCCTTGAACAATTTATTGATAGAATATAGAATTACGATTACGGGGGGGATTACGTATAGATAGAATAAATATTTATTGATAGAATAGAATAGAAGTGTCGGCGTTGAAGAAATAGGCCCATGGCTAAGGTGATGTCTACATGGTAGTCTATGGTAGTCACTGCAATGTCTACATGTACACAAACCGAGCCGGGGGATGATGAGGTGCGAACTTCGTGTTTTTCTTCGTCAATCCTGTTAGCGGTGCGGCGATTTCCGGTAAAGTTAGTTTCTTTCTACGGTGCTGGTAAATAATAATAGAGATGACTTATATTAATTAACCCTGTCGTGACTGACGGGAATTCTCGGTTTCAAAGCACTAGGTACGAATAGCATTGACGGCGGTAAATGTATCCGTGCCGAAAGGATATGAATAACAGAGCTAGAGCAGTGCTGGACGAAAAATCTTGAAATCATGAGTAACGTCAGACCGTATTCCCATCACATCGTTTCAATCCTGTTGTGATAATTTTACGACTCTTTGAAATTTATTGAAAATCGTCACAATTTATTCGGTTGTTCTGCATATATTGGCTATAGCTATAACCAAAATAGATCAGTACTACTGAATTATTTGTTCAATTTTTGTGGCGGTTTCTCAGCCGCTGGAAACTGAAGGAAGGACGCATTGCTTTACAAGGGATTCGCCTGCTTATCTTGAGAGAGTATTTGAGATTTATTGGAAAGCTATCGGATTCCTTTAAGGATCGAGTAGATCCTCACTCTGAATTGCTCCGTATCGTTGCTGTGACGTTCGTGCGATATTCGAGTCGATAAGGGAACTCCTATCAAACTGCTGCCGAGATTATTTACATGAGAATTTATACGGGGAGAGATCTAGGGTCGGTAAATTAGAATTAATGTGATATCATAAAATCTGATTATGATAAGCATTTCATGCTCATTGACCTATAAATATCGGGAGCCAGAATTTACGACCATCGTATAATCCTATATAACTCTGAGGATTAATATAAAATTTTATCGATATATTAGCAGAGATAATAAAAGCCAACTTAGAGATTATCGGTAGACGAAAATCAATTTCGCTTGGGCATCGTTTGTAGAAATATAAAATATTATACAGTTATGTTCTGCGTGAATATTTAAATATTACCGAAATAAAAAATATTACAGAAATAAAAAATACTGACTCTAATTTGTGTCGAATTTTTTTCAGGTGGAAATGCACGGATACCGCAGCCCTGGCCAGCCGCCCACATCCCCTACAGATTCGCCGGTCATTTCCCCAATCTGCGTGAGTTACAATTGGGAATAAATTAAATGGATTAGGTATAATGACAAAAAAACTGTAATACGTTTAGTTATTATAAGTTTAGAAAAAATTACATAATAACATAAATTACTCACAAACGCTTAATTTAGGCGCTGTTGGATTTTTTCCGTTAATTATGTGGTCCTTTTAATTTTGGTCTTGTTGATACAGGGGCTCTCATCGCTGAAGCAATGTCTATCGTCGCAGAGAGCACTTGTATTTCATTTGAGGTGACAATCGACCTGAAATAAACCAAACATAAATCCTTGAATCAATAAAGCGTGACATGCCTCCTTAACTATAGACTGTAGTACTAAAATATTCTGCAGAAAACGACACACGAAAAATAAGATAATGTAGTGACTGGGAATTTACAATATACTAATGTAGTTACTGAATTTCCCAGTAGCTTGTATCTGCCTTCCATGCAAATTTCAAGTTTCTCCGATAATATTCACCCAAATCCCCAGGAGGTTTCCAACGTAACACAAGCTGTAGTGATATTCAGCAACCGAGGAGCGACGTGCTGGTGCTCGGCTGTAGGATACCAAGGACCTCACAATCGTGCTCTCATATTTACTGCGTGCTCTCATATTTACTGCGTGCTCTCATATTTACTGCGTGCTCTCATATTTACTGCGTGCTCTCATACTTATTGCGTGCTCTCATATTTACTACGTGCTCTCATACTTATTGCGTGCTCTCATATTTACTAGGTGCTCTCATATTTACTAAGTGCTCTCATATTTACTAAGTGCTCTCATATTTACTAGGTGCTCTCATATTTACTGCGTGCTCTCATATTACTACGTTTCCTCAAAATTTATGTAATGCAAGATGCTAATTGAAATCAATTTATATTTCGAACTCAAAGCTGTGTCTTTCTGATGAGAAAATTTAGTTAAATATTAGATATCGTACTCATCTGGTTGATAAATTCGACAATATTTTTTGTATCCTTTTTTTAGCAGTAGATAATTCTTCTTCAACAAACTGAATTATTTGGATAAACTGAGACTATAAACTTTTAAGTTGGACCTCACCACACTTTCATGACGTCACAATCAAGTATTGATTGGGAACAACCTAATATTATAATAAATATAAGGAATATATAAATAAAAAATAAATTAACAACTTTAAAGTAACATTATTTACTTATAAACTGCAATTACAAAGGCCCTGAAAAGTTAATTGAATTACAGGTGAGGGTTAACTACGGCAGAGGCTGCGTGTGGAGAGGCCGCGTCATGCATGAACTGCTGCACGCCCTGGGCCTCAGACACGAGCACTCGAGACCTGACCGAGACCTCCACATCGCCGTTAACTGGAACAACATTAAACCTGGTAACCGCTCTCCAGTCCTTGGTCAAGTGATGGTTACTGGAGATACCAATCTTTTAAATGATAAAATATAAGAAAGAAGTAAATGGAGCAACATTAAACCTGGTAACCGCTCTCTAGTCCTCGGGCAAGTGATGGTTACTATAGATACCAATCTTTTAAATGATAAATTATAAGAAACAAGGGAATGGAGCAACATTAAACCTGGTAATTGGTCTCCAGTCCTCTGCTAACTGATTGTTATTCTATATACCAATCTTTCAAATGAAATGAAAATGAAAAAGGAAATGGAGCAATATTAAACCTGGTAACCGATCTCCAGTCCTCGGCCAATTGATGGTTACTATAGATACCAATCCTTTAAATTAAAAATATAAGAAACAAGTAAATGGAGCAACATTAAACCTGGTAACCGATCTCCAGTCCTTGGTCAAGTGATGGTTACTATAGATACCAATCTTTTAAATGAAAAATTATAAGAAACAAGTAAATGGAGCAACATTAAACCTGGTAACCGCTCTCCAGTCCTCGGGCAAGTGATGGTTACTATAGATACCAATCTTTTAAATGATAAATTCTAAGAAACAAGTAAATGGAGCAACATTGAACCTGGTAACCGCTCTCCAGTCCTCAGCCAACTGGTGGTTACTGTAGATACCAATCCTTTAAATTAAAAATATAAGAAACAAATAAATGGAGCAACATTAAACCTGGTAACTGTTCTCCAGTCCTCGGTCAACTGATGGTTACTCTGGATACAAATCTTTTGAATAAAAAAAATAAGGAACAAGGAAATGGAGCAACATTAAACCTAGTAACCGCTCTCCAGTCCTCAGCTAACTGATTGTTTTCCTAGATACAATCTTTCAATTGAAAAAAATGGAGAAAAAAGTAAATGGAGCAAGATTGACCCTGGTATAAACGTCTTACAGTCCTCGGCAAACTTAACGAGTGAATACCATTAGCGACGAGTAATTAGAGCAAACTCAAATATGATACATGCTTTCAGGCCTCGGTCTATTGAAGGTAACTTTAGATTCCAGCCCTTAACATGCGAATAGCTGTAGTGGTGAGTAACATGCCTGTAGACAAAGAGTTAACGACCCTTAGTAGCCTTTACATCTGGATTAACGTCGCATTTACGTAATGAAATTTTACGCTATAATTTCTATTCATGATCTATTGTCGCTGTAGCCAGTACACGGAGATGATGTTAACTGTGCAGATGTACACGATCTAAGAGAATTAATACGTCAACGGCTGCAAATGATGCAGCGTATAGTTCTAGTGCCTTCAGGAACCGTCCCTTGAGAAACAAGCCAACCTTGTTCACAAATTTTAGTCTCCAAATATATAGTTCTATGTGTTTATATAATATGATTAGTAACCTTTTCCGTAACCTCAGGTTCTAGACACCATTTTCAAGTCGATAACGGATACACGTTCTTGGACATCCCGTATGACTTTGACAGCGTCATGCACTACGGTCGCAACGCTTTCGCCAAGGTGAGGCTTTATGAATGACAGTCATTCCAATAAGAGTGCAAAATAAATGTTATTACTTATGATGCTATGTTTACATGGATAATTCAATTTACTTAGAGTATTTATAACGATGCACGAGACTGATGTAGGCAAGCAATCATGGGCTATCCTAGCTCCTTGATTGCTATAGCTAACAGTAGTACTATGATCATATTAGAAACATATCTATTAACAAATCTGCAATCTCGCACTGTTAGTAATAAAGTTCAAGCCTAGAGAACAAAAGTTTTTCGAACAGCGAGTGTAATTTCAAACATCTGTCGAGTCATCTGTCTCATGATTACTATACTGTAGAATGTTTTGCTTTACTCTTAGTTTCGTATATTTTCTTAGTAAAAACTTCGGTATTTGGTTTTTACTCCTAGAACTCTTCTGTTGGAGTTCTGACCGCTCTCACCAGTCCTACCAGACCTCTCGGTGGCGCTGTTCTCACTGAGCTGGACCGTCGACGCCTGCAAGTCCTTTACGGTTGCTACAATGCCATGCACTGAAATCTAAAATCTTTATCATTGTTTAATTTCGTTTTAAACTACCCTCTGCTGTCATATGTTACCAATAAATTGCATTTAAATCTATGTAAAATACTTTCCAAACTTAAATATATAGCCTCAGATATCCGAAATCTGCAAGTTGTGTTTTTAATATATAGTTATTGGGAGAGCAGGTTACAAACTTCACTGTCCATATTGCTGCAATGTTTAATTGAGGAGGTCCTAGAGTTCCAAAGCATTCACAGTTTCTTGGTCAAGCTGCTGGTCTTATTTCTTCGGACGCTGGTCTGGTAAACCACGTTGCAGCCGCAGTCAGCCCGTCTAGTCGTCAATGGCCAGAGAGGGACGAGCTTAATACCACCGAATGGCAGAAAAAGAACTCGTCACGCAACGTCAAGGAGCCTCTCGGCTCCGACGTCTCGCGTTCGATAGGCCCCAAAAGAATACGATCGTCTAGTAGTGACACAAAGAATCTCGCGGTATTCCTGTTAGGCCGTCCCGCTCTTTTATTGCCGCCATAGACGCAGGAAGATTGCATTTGCATGGATACTCGCCGGCTCCCTGGGACCAAGATTTGCCAGCGCATTGCTCGTTGTGAGGTACAGCCAGATTGTCAAAGACCGATATTTTCGTAAGTTGTACCAAGGAGTTCAAATTATCTCTATATTATATACTTGGGATTTTGGTTGCAGATTGTCTATGATGTAATAATATTTCGTTTCGTTTGAGGTGACGTCAAAATATCTCAGAGACGAAATCAGAAAGTGAAATCCATGTTTCAGAAATTGAAATCAAAACATACAATTCGGAACTACTTTATAACCATTTAACTTAGACATATTTTGTACCAAGAATTTCATTTGATATCGAATAAATTTACACTGATTGATCGGTGAATGTTCTGAATGGCTTTAAACTTCTGAACCAAGGTTCTAAAGCCCTAATTTCTTGTTCTGCAAGTGGCAAGTGGTTATCACAACTCCAAAAAATCATACCAGATACTAAAACCTCTTCAAGGCCCAGCGTGAACCACCCCCTTCCCCACAGAAATGAGCCCTGCATCGTGGTCATAAGTTTGAATTAAAAAGACCAAACGCTTACAAAATATAAAATCCGTTAGGAAAATATTTCTCTTACGGCCTCCCAGGCGCTCGCTAATGCCAAAAGTTCACTTCATCTCTCCGAGCTTCGGCATCTTGGCGGCCCATACGGCGACCCTAGAACAGCTTCGCTGGTCGCCTCAAAACATTACTTAAATATACGTCCGAACTTTCTTGCACATTCCGGGAAGATGCATGTGCATGATTTTCCTGATGTGAACCAAAATCCTGAAAGATAGTCATCGGATAGCTTTAATCTATGACAATAACCTTATTATATATTTATCGAATGCAACGCACACCACACTTTATAATTGAAGAAGAAACTTTGCATGAATTATTTAGTTGTGATGCTCAGAAGCTCTTTATAAACGGAATAAATTCGAAAATAGTTTTGAACTTCTGTTCAAGATTAAGCATATTGCAATACTGTATAGCTGTTTTGATATAAATATGTCTATAGTTGTATTTAGAGTTTTCGTCAACACCCGGACATGATATTTAACATTCCCGGGCAGAGGTAAGAAATCCGAAAAAAATTGCGTCCGGTTTTGTACTTTATTAGTTTGTACTTAATAAACGGACACAAAAAGAAATGAATTACATGACCGAATATTCTGAAAAAAACGCCAGCCTCGTTTGGTTAGGGTTAGGTGTGTATAAAACACTTCTCTAAGTTACAAGACACCTTTCTACTGAGGTTAGGTCCACCAGGTCAAGTTCGTTTTCCCTTTTTTACAGTTTTATAAAGGTCATTGTGAACAAAAAATCATAGTCCGGATAAGTGAAACTCATTTCCACTAAATATAGGTATAGTTGTTTAAATATAAAAACATTCCTTGATATGTGAAATATCTCAGCAATCATTGCATATAATTTGATATTATATTGAGATATCTTCTTCTACTAACTATAATTTCTGCTTTATTTCCAAATTCCATTCAAATAATTGTAGAAATGATAAAAAATAATAATGATTTTATTCAGTGATTGAATATTTTTGTTCAATTTAAAGCCCTACTTAATGAGCGGAATAAATCGGCAGACTCTTTATTGTTGATACTCTTTGCACTATAATGTTTATACGAAGCGTAGCATAAACTCTCGAGAACGAAAGCCGTTGATAATGACTTCAGGATGAAATGGAGTGCACACAACTGACCTAAAGAGAGAACAATAAAAAACTTTAGTAGGATGCTGAGAGGTTAAAAAAGTAAGGTAGCCGATTTTACAGTAATGATTTCCTTGCAGTTAATTTGCAATTATAATAAAGTTAAGAAAGACATCCCTGAACAAACTTTAAGCAAAAGTTATAAAATGTTCAATTTATATTCTATTGTTTGTGAAGATATAACACAGAGTCGTAACATTAGCAATAATTTTTGGACTTTAGATTCAGGATTAGAGCGGCAAAAACAAATTTTAATATTATCCCTAGCATTAAAGTGTTATTTTTCTTAAATTTATAGCAGCTACCATATTATTTTTTGTTGATATCAAGGCTCCACTTACTTTTTCACCAAAATAATTAATCTCATACAAGAACATGTTTGGGAACTGTGTAGTTCTTGAAGCAACCAATATCTACGTCTGAACATTCCTTGAACGGGTTAGACATTCACCCGAAAGCCCCTATAGGCAAGTTCGACTCTTAACATTTCAACGACCGTCCTGGTATCCTCAACTTCTAAAAGCGTCTGCAAGATTCGTTCCACGGGATGCTTCCAATGGCACCAAATTTCCGGCCTGGAAGAAGTGCCAACAAAATGAACTCGTTCGCTTCAAATCCCCGGAAACGACCAATGTAACCTCCGGTACGCCAGTTGTTGTCTTCCGCTCGCTCCAGAGAACAGACCGAGTATTGCTAAACGCGTGAAGTTAGCTCATATTATACAGCACTGAAACGTGGAGAGAATTATAAGGACATAACAGAGTTTAAAAATTACTCTTTCGTGAGTATTCGTGTTGCTACAATTTACGTGACTTGCGCGTTTATCGATGAAAAAGAGTTCAAGTGTTTCTGACCGCTGATATTTTCGAAGTGAAAATTATGAAAAATGTGAAATTTCGCTGATCGTATGTTGCTTGAAATAAAGCCAGCTTCTATAACTAAATAAAACTAGACTCAAATCACGGCATGACTGCCCGTTTAGCAACGTATGGGATATTACATGAAATTTCTAAATAATCTATCTGATAGCTTTAGTTCTTACTAAAAAACTTCGCCTCAATGTTTGCCAAAAAACATTAACTAATATCCATTGTTCAAAACAGAATTCAATTTAATCCTATCGAGATTTGTCTCGTACGTCAAACATCAACTTGATTATTGACTCTGAATAACGAGCAGACCGAATAAACTTATCGTGATTGTTCAATTATAACGCAATGCACTTAGCAAGTAAATAGAGAACATGCCATTTCAGTAATTCCAATACAGCATCATATGTTCCAATACAACATCATCAACTTCTAAACTTTCTTAAGATTTTGCTCGAAATTATCACTTCGGAAGAAATCGCCAAATGATCACAATCGAGTCTCCCTACATATTAGCATTCAGAGCATACAGCTGCTGGCTGTATTACGCAGTACTAAAATCCCTGGTATAAATTTCCCCCTACGCAACGTGACTCTGAAATAGTCCATCTTGCAATCAACGTCTCGCTCGTCTTGAGTCAATCAATCGTGGGCCGTCGTGTTCATTAGAAACCGACTCCAACGAGATTCTGATAATTGAATCACGACCGAAGCTGAATTCTCGATGGATTTGCTTCCAGCGACTACATCTTGCAAGATGCTTGCCAAGAAATTTGAACGATGGTAACTGGAAGCTGAACATGTGTATATAGTGTTTTGTTTATTAAAATCGTTCACATTTTCAAACTGAGTCCATGTAAATTTGCATACGTGTCTGGTTACTAATTTAAAAAAATATTTGCGTAAATTTGATGTAATAATAAATTTGATGCAAGTTTTTCTTGGTATTTCAGTTGAACAGAACTGAGCGGTGGTTGCCTTTATGCATGCAAAAGAGAAGGTGGCAATGATTCCATCATAAACCACAAATAGATTGATTCAGCGTGATTAATGTGCTTTTTACGATATTGTTAACAAACAATCTTTTAAACTTCATTTCTCTTGTTTTAGAAGCATGAAAAAAATACTATCATGATCATTAGTAACATGCCTTCATACTGTTTATTCGTTAAGATTATACTTCGATCACTACATAATTTACATTACGAATTTCGTCAACACGGAAAATTTTCTATTGAAATTATTGCGAACGTAGCGTCAGTCAAAACTTCTATGAATATCTCGAAGTTATCATATTTCAATCCAACTCTAATCTTTCATTGACAGGCAGGCATCTTCATCTTCACCTTGCAATATGTATAGTGGGGATATAGTGTAACCTCATAGAAGCCCTGTGAAACCTTTCCAAAAACGTTGAAAGTGTTTTTAATAAGCTTATCGTTATTTTTTCCGCGTGTATCTAATGCTAAGGAAGTTTCTCAGCCATCTTTACTAGGGAATTTAGTGCAGTTGGTTACTGCAAGTGAAGATCTGAGATAGAATAAATATTAATTTTTTACTAAATAAAATAAATACTATTATTAATAAATATTAACAAATATCAAATATTAAATTTTTATTATTAATATTATCAGTAGTAACATCATTATAGCTGAATAGAGTATCGTTGTATTGCTAACATGAGCAGCGTAATTCGATTAGTATATTTACATGATTAACAAGCTTGTGCTGAAGGCATGTTTTGCGTAGGAACTATACCTCTTCACCTCTTACAAAGATCATAGCCTGCTGAACTTGACGTCACAGCAATACTGTAAAACAAATAACATTGAACCGCATGTGAGCGCACAACCATGGACCCTAAATTAAACTCATAAATTGGCCCTTGAAACAACGCCTACCCTATGCAATTTTCA